ACTTTCCTGCGTGTGGTTATAACTTGTTTTCTAAACTGTAATTTTAAACTGACTTCAGGAACGAGGGGAAACCGTCCTGTGTGCTCAATCTAAAACGCGTGGCTGGAAGTACCTGCTGAGATTCTTCCTGAGCAGTCCAGAGGCTCAGGGTTGTCTGCGTGGTTTTCCTTCTCCTGTTCCCCTCCCGCTGGTTTCCGCTTTCTGGAATTATCCTGGTCATCATGATCCCTCGAATCGCCAGGCTGGGTGCTCCAGACTTCAGACTCATTCTTTGGGGTTGAGGGGTGTCTCCCCCACTTAGAATGCCTTTTTCCTGTGGCTTTCATGACACTGGGCAGCCGGGTCCCCGTTGGTGCCTCCGATGGCTTTTACAAAGAGCTCGTCGTCTTGTTCCCTGCATCCCAGCGAAGGTGCCCTTGGGGTCTCTCTTTCTCTTCTTTTTTTAATTAATTATGTTTTGTTTTGCAATATCTTTATTTGGCTTTGTCAAGATACACCACCTTTCATGAAGATGGAACGCGTCACGAATTTGCGTATCATGCTTGCGCAGGGGCCGTGCTGATCTTCTGTGTATCGTTCCAATTTTAGTATATGTGCTGCTGAAGCGAGCACTCTTTCTCTTCTTTTCTTTGTCCTTTACCAACTTCATTGTAGCTGTTACCTGTGCTCAGGTAGGTGAGTTATAAGTTTGATTCCTGACTCAGCCTCTTTCCCCTTCATCCTGGCAGATCCTTCTTGGATTCCTGCAGCCTTGCTGGTAGAAATGATCCTCCCTGGGCCCATGGTTGCCCCGGTGACAAGCAGAGAAGTTGGGAGGTGGAGATGGCTTAGAAGAAAAGGATTGGGGACGGGCATCATGGCTTTCTCACTCTCAGCTCAGCCTCAGAAATATGGCCAAGCTTCATGGGGAGCCTACTGAAGAGGTATAATTTGTGAGCAAAAAAAAAAAGGTTTGGGTGGTTGAAAGTGGAATGAAATTTTAATGGTTTACTTGAGTGTAAGAGATTATTTATTTTAAGATTACTGAGAAAGCCCAGGCAACCCCTAATTGCAGCTTCACATACTGGGCTTTCAAAATTTCTGGGTCTTTGAGTTCTTGCTGCCCATGATGCCCAAGTGGACAGTCACGTCCTACCTGTGGCAAATGTTAAAATGTTGCTTTAAAAAGAAAGAGAATTTTTTTTTGTTTTTTTATTCTGCTTTAGCACAGGGTCCTGCTGTTACAAGCAGCTGAGATCAAAGGCCTGAGATGGCTTAGTTGTGACTCTCCTCCGGGGTGTATAGGGCACAGATGTGGGTAGAGAGGAAGGGCACAGGATGAGGCCGGGGTTGGGAGAGGCCTAGTGTCTTCCAGCATTGCCTGCTATGGGCCCCCAGGGGGCTGCTTCTGCTAGCCTGACAGCCAGGCACTCTGTACACTCACGGATAGAGAATACAGGTTCAGATTAGAACCCAAGGCCCAGCTGTGGCTGCTGCCCCAGCTCCTGCATCCTGCTTCTCCCTACCCACACCCGCCATTTGCATTGCAAACTCAGCCCCTGGGCTGGACTAGCATGGAGGGAGTTGGAAGTGGGGTGTGATGGACCAGTCCCAGGCTGCTCTCAGGCCAGCACCCACCCCTGCACCCCTGTACTCCTGCCCCAGTGGCCCCTGGACATGGTGTTGAGGGAGTGGGCACACATTCACAGGGCGCAGGGAAATCACCCTGGGATAGCTAATCACATATCCAAACGAGGTCGGTAATCCACATCCCCCAAATAAACGCAAAGATGTTAGTAATTTCTGGCCATATGTTCTTTCTTCCCTACTCTCCCCAACTCCAAAAAGAAAGTGAGCCAAATGGCAAGAAATAGCCTAATGCGTAAGACATCCCCATCATTTGACTTCTCTCCCCCGCTCCTACCCCCTCCACGTGAACTGGATTCCTTTACATGGTCATGGCAAAGGAACATTAATTTTTGATTTCAGTTGTGTTAAAAGGGACAAAATCAGAAGAGTGAAATAGTTTCCATTGAGGCAATCTCATTTTCAACTGAGTCATGGTGCCGCAGGAGAGAACATGGTCTTTGGAGGTGGTGTGGGTTCTGATCCTGGTTCTGTTACTCTGGCTCTTGTTACTTAACCTGAGTTGTCCTTCTCAACTGTCATAAAATAGTAACAATGGTTTCTTGAAGTCACAAGCCAGTGGGAGGGGGGAAGACAGGTGGTCCCCGACACCTCCCCCATCAAGACTTAACATTAAAACAGCAGGTGAGTCACTTATAGTAAGTCACCCAGTCCCTTACTCTGCTCACATACAGAGCCCAGTGGGTGGGGTGGGAGGTGCCCAGGAAATGATGGGTCTCTGCAGAAAACAGAGTCCCCTACTTGCCAGATGGGGTGGGGCCCCTCTCTCCCAGTGACAACTTAATCACTCCAGTGGCTTGCTTGGTCTGGACCTCAGATCTTGGGGCTTATCTTACGTTCTGGAGTGTCTAGTGGAAGGAGCAGAAATACTTTTCCCATCTTCCCATCATGCGGTACCCTTTGCAGCCTTTCTTTGAGAAGTGGTTTCTACCCGCTGCCTTCTGCTGGGGGTGGGGGGAGGACAGAGGTGGAGACTTGCCTGTGCCCTGCCCAGGCAGTGAGATTCCTCTTGCTGGTTCCTCACTCAGCCCCACTGAGGACCTTTCTCATTCAGTGAAGCACAGACTAGAAGAGGGAGAACCTTTGCTCCAGTGAACACCCAGGGACAGGTTTATAAGCCAGCAGTGGGTGCTGCACCATGGTGGGCCTGTGTCTGGGTGAAGCCCAGGAGGGGTAATCTTTGCTTCTTCCTGTCTGCTGCACCCCACGCTGCTGGTCTCCATGGAGAAGGAATCAGCACATCCCAGAGCCCTGGGCAGCAGTAGGGAGAGGGGAAGGAGCGTGAAGGAAGCAGCTCATTGCCCTGAGTGTCCCTGGGGGGCCCATGTGAATCCTGGGACATTCTGCTCGCTGGTGCCCAGCTCCTGCCCTTCTGCCACCCTTGGGCTGAGGTGTTCTTAGGCCTCGGATCTCATGCAGGGCCAGGCTCTGGAACTCTTTGTAAGACAGAAAGCAGAGGGAGGGGTCTCACTGAGTGACCTGGAGACATTCCTCCAAGATTTGTTGCTAGAATCTTTTTCTCCTCCTTCCCATTCTTGAGTTAGCCAAGTGTGCTGTTCCAGGCAACTAAATATTGAATAATAAAGCCTCCAAAGCTTAGTTGCTTCCCTTGCTAGAGTGTTTTCCTCTTGGAATCAGGAGGAAATCTTTTACCATTTCATAAGGAAAGTCATTTTGAAATGCAGGTGAGACTGCGGAGAGGGTCTGGGTTCCTCTTCCCAATTAAATGTAAATCCTGGCCCATTGGATCAGTATGCTAAGTTTGGGGTTCATTCTGAAGAATTTGGGGACCCTAGAATCAGCCTGGACAAAGTGGTGACTGACAGAGCTGACACTCAGATCTGGGTTTCGGGTTAGGACTAGTGACCTGGGGCAAGTCAGCCTAACTCCACATTCCTCACTTCTCCCCCTTGTTAGGTGGGGAGAGTAAAATATTGTACGTTTCTCCTGAAGCTGTTGGGATTAGTGGAGGAAAAGCATGAAAGATACTTGGCACGTGTCCTGGCAGGTTAATGCGTTCGCAATTGTTAGTGTGATTCAGCTCAGGTTCAAGGCCATCCTTGTTGAGTGTGGGTGGAAGCCTTGTGTTATTAAAAAGCGGGGGGGTGGTCATTTTGTTTTGTTTTTAATTTTTTTTTTAATTAAATCATAGCTGTGTACATTAATGCAATCATGGAGTACAATGTGCTGGTTTTACACACAATCTGAAATGCTTTCATCAAACTGGTCAACAGCCTTCATGGCGTTTTATTATTGTGGGCTGCTCATTTTGAATTCAGAAGACCTTAGAGGATGTACAGAAGATTGGTGACTAGCATTTAGAAAATGGTTTCTAACTCCTTTTGGAATACCTGGGCCTGGCCCATCTTAGAGGGGAATTGACCGTCACCAGGACGGTGTTGAGAATTTATGGAGCGTCTCCTTTATCATCTGTCCTCATCAGTCGGGCCTGCTGGGACATCACTGAAGGGTCTGGTCCACGGGTTAATAATAATGTTCATTCAAGGTCTGTAGCAACAAAGAAAAGAGAAGGCACAGTGGGCGGACGGGCTGGTTTTCCCTGATGCTGGGGCTGTGCTGGGAATGGAGCAGCCTGGGTTCCAGGTCAGATTTGAGGAGAGAGCATCGCCTGGATTCATCTGTGAGGACTTCACCGGGACTCACATGGATCTGTTGGAAAGTCAGATTTCGATCCTGGGTGGACCTGCCCGGTGGATAGAACGTTAGTGGTTCCTGTTGTGGGAATTAGTGGTGGGTCAGTGGTTGACGGGCCAATAGCAGCATCAGCTGTGCAACCACTGAGTGACACGGTCACAGGAACTCTGACCCTGCACCTGCTGAAGCTGGACATTGATGTTTAATGCACCTGACCGTGGACATTTGAAATACTCTTTAACTTTCCCTTGCCGAGTGTGCATGTGTAGATTCTGTGTCGTTTACAGGACTCAACTCGTCAAGAGTTTTAGGTCTCTGGATCTCAGAAAGCTAAACCAGTAACTTTCTCTTAAAAAAACTCATTTTTTTGGAATGCTGATCTGCAGCATTTGATTATATGGATGAAATTGGATCATATGATCCCTTCTCTTAAAGCAACATGTGATATTCTGAGTCACCGAATTTTTAAAAAGTGGTAAATTTTGTTTTGAAAACATATTTGAAAGCCTCATGGCGCGAGTGGCAGTTACTGAGATTAGAGAACAGGAACGTGAGGCTGAGTTGCAGCAGAGCGCGTGACGAGTGCGTGACGGAGACCTCGGTTTTTACTGATACGGTTGCTTTTATTTGCTGTTTGCTTTCGTCCCCTCCCTTTGGGACACTGTGTTCTAAACGCTTTCTCTCCTCCCCCTTCTCTTTCTCCGCTCCATCATCTCTAGCACTGAGGATGAAAATCAAAGAGGTGAAGAAGGAGAATGGGGACAAGAAGATCGTCCCCAGGAAGAAGAAGCCTCTGAAGCTGGGACCCATCAAGAAGAAGGAGCTGAAAAGGCTGGTCCTGTACCTGAAGAACGGGGCCGACTGCCCGTGCCACCAGCTGGACAACCTCAGCCCCTACTTCCTCATCATGGGTCGCAAGGTGAAGAGCCAGTACCTGCTGACCGCCATCCACAAGTGGGACAAGAAGAACAGGGAGTTCAAAAGCTTCATGAAGAAAATGAAAAACCATGAATGCCCCACTTTTCAGTCTGTCTTTAAGTGATGGTCCCTGGGGCGGGTTGGGAGGGCGCGGTGGTGGGGTGGGGTGAGGGGTGGGGGAGAGTGATGACGCTGGACCCCAGCGGGTCACACACACATACACACACGTGCATACATGCACACACATACACGTGCACACACACGCCTGCTCCTGGTGGCAGTGGACATTGCAGTCCGGGTGGCTTTGTTCTCGTAACATTCTCACTCCCCCCCAGGGGCACATGCAGGCCTCAGGGTATCCAGGTCTGGGTGAGGCAAAGACCATTTAGATTAGGAAGGCTTTTAAGATCTGCAGTGTGGGCAGCAGTCACTGTGGGGATGTGTCACTGAGACAACAGTGCTTGCCAGTGCGCACGCGCGCGCGCGCACACACACACACACACGATTGGGCCAAAAATGAGAGACAGTAGCAAAAACTGAGGTTTGCAATTGGTGGGTATAAATCTGTCAGCTGATCTATGCCTGTGCAACTGGAACATTCTAACTGTCAGGAAGTTGCATTGCTCTCAGCTCTAGAGCAGTTTCTGTCCCCTTTAGACCGAAACAGACCACACTTAGGCTTTAAGATCAGTTTCCCAAAGTGGCAGGTGCAGGAGGAAGAGCGGCCGCGCTAAGCCTCACGGTGCCCCCCACAGGGCTGGAAGAGGGGTCACCGTGCCCTGCCCTGGGCCTTTCTACCTGGTTGTCTGTGGATATGAATCGGCCAGTCTCATGCCACAGAAGTGGTGGGGCCGGTCAGTCAGCCAGGGCACGCTTGTGCCCCTAGACATGGGGAGGGGTGGCGTGCGCCTGCCTTTAGGTGAGGCAAAGGAAAATACAGTGGAATAAGCAAGACGATTTTTCAGACTGAAACGGCAATGGTTAAGTGTTTTTTTTTTTTAAAAAAAAACATAGTTGAAGGAAAAAAAAAATAGCCACTTTAGGTCCAGGAAATTGCTAGTCAGGGTGAATTGTGAAATTGGGTGACAAGATTACCATCCTCATTTCATCTGTTCATTCGTTTCACATTTTTTAAAAGAACATCAACAACGAAAACCAAACCACTTTTCAAGGACTCCTTTGTAAGAAAACATCGATATGGAGTAATTTGATAGGTTAGTGCTCAGACAAGGCCTCCTGGTCTATCACAGGCTGCTTTCTAGAAGCAGTGGGGTGAGGGGAGGGATCCACCTGCCACCATAGCCAAGGGGTCCTCCTGCCCTGGGAGTCCTCGGTTGCCATGGAAACCACACAACACTAACAAAACTCACCATGCCTCCCTGAGAAGAAATAGGCTCCTTTAACCTTGATTTCCTGACCATCGAAGAAATTTGGAACAGCCTTCCTGCCTGTCCCCAGCACTTTGTACCTAAATTTTTTTCTTTTTATTTCTGCAGAGGGGAATGTTGTTGCCATCTAAGGAGAGGGTTTCAGAAGCAAAATGATCTCTGCAGTTTTTCCCAAGTGCCCTGAGATACTTCTCAAAGCCCTTGTGTTTGATAAGGGTTGTACATAAAGCAGTTCACTTACATAACTTTGCTTTTCTCGTCCAATGTATAGGACGTAGTTCTTAAAAATTAATGTTGATTTCTTCCTCCAAAGCCTGAGTCTTAATTCTCCGTAGCACCTCTGGGACAGCAGTGATTGTCTAGAAGAGTGTTTATGCCCAACCCAGGCTCTGCAGTGGGGCTGGCCGTGTCCCCTGCCCTGGCCCTAGCTGGACACAGAAACAGAAGATTCTATTAACTTTTGAAAACTCCAGTCTTGAAAAACCAGCATCTAGAGCAGAGTAATCACCGAAGAGTTATCCTGATAGAATCAACCTTTGGCAATTAGTAGTCCCAACATTTTAACGCTGTTTTTTTTAATTGGTGGCGGGCGGTTTCTCTCTGACCTTTAATCATAAAGTGTTGGGGATCTTGAATAATTTGCCTGTAATTTTGGATGATTAAGAAATGTGTACATATATTAGTTAATTAGAAACATTCTACTTTCCTGTTGTCAGACTGAATTTCAGAGTAACTTCATGAGAGTGTGGGTCTGGGTCTGGGTTGATTAACTCACTCGTTGAGCGCCCACACGGATCTGCTCATTTTGACAGCGCCTCATGGAACAGGGCCTTCTCTCCAAGGCAGGGGCCTCGGCAGAGGGGTTTGTCTGGGACATTAGGAGTAGCTCAGAGTATGGAAGAGGAGGTGGCCGTGCAGTGTAACCCCTCTACCCCGGATTCTCAGGGAGGAGGCAGCCCTTCCAGTGAGAGCTGCAGATGATGGGGATTGAGCGGCAGCTGTCAGTTCTGGCGCACACTCTTAAGTCCCTGGGCGTTGAGCTGCACCATCTGCTTTGATGAAGATGTTAGATGCGCTGTCAGGCCCCAGAGGGAGGCTGCCCTGGGCCCAGAGCTGCGTTAACCCAGCTTCTGTTTTTCTCCACTAAAGGCTCTGTCAGCACTCATGTGCATACTCATTCCATCGGTCATTGGTTTGCAGAAGACGAGGCCTGTATGTGATTTGATAATTATTGCTGGTCCAAAGGTCAGATCTGTAAAGCTTTGAAATAATCACTCTGGATAGAGACCTGTGAGTCCACTGGCAGAACTCAGCTCAGTCTTTGAGGAACATTCGTAGTTAGAAGACAGAATGGTAAGGGAGAATTCCAAGAACATTTTATTTTTAAAATAGCCTGCGTAACCCTTGGCTCTTGCTGCCCATGGGTTAACACCAAGTTCTTCTGAAGGCAGAATCCAGTTAGAGCTCTAATTTTAACATGTATCTGAAAAGTACAGCAGTCCCACTTCCCCATTTTTCTCATCAGACTCCAAATAACCAGTTGCTCTGTTGCAACTACTTAGATGTACGAGGCTCAGGTGATGCTTCAGGAGAGAACCTTAGGTGACTTCCCTGGGGTTACGCACTGGCCCGTGGGCACCTGCCACCAGCAGTTATATAGGACCCAGACGAAATTCCTGTCTTCCCTAGTTCCTTCGTGCAGTACATCTTTTTTCAAGTCTAAATCTTTTACAAAAGCTTGGAATACTGTGAAAATGTTTTACATTCCATTTCATTTGTGTGTGTGTGTGTTTTTTTTTTAATGCATTTTACCAGATGTTTTGATGTTATCGCTCACGTTAACAGCAATTCCCGGACGTGTTCATTTTATCTCCATGTTTTTCCCGCCATGTAGCAATACTCACTTGACTAAAATCACTCAATTAATCAATGGTGATGTGAGCTGTGACTTTTTTCCTCCTCCAGTCGTCCATCCTCTCCCCCCTCCCTGCTTACGCCATGTCCTCGGGTCCGTGTTCCACAGCATTCAGTGGTAACTGGTGCGGGTGGGCTGGAGAAGCTGGGAGGCAACCCTCTCGTTTCCCATCTGCTCCTGGGAATAACTTGCAGAAGTGCTGCTCCTGGCTGTGTGTGTTTCAGATCAGAGGGAAGGTCAAATACTTGCTCTGGAGGCATGTGGCTTTCAGCCCTGCCCAAGTTTCTTTTCCATGTTTGTTTTTCTCCTCTGGCCTTTTCAGAATTTGAAAACTTGCTTGTATCTGGAATCTTAGACCCGTAAGAGGCTTTAGAGAAGACCCCGTCTAAACCTTCTCTCCCTTTTTTTATTTTTTAACAGTCTCTGAGGCCCAAGCTCACAGCAACCTCAGACTTCTGGGCTGAAGCAATATTTCTGCCTTGGCCTCTGGAGTAGCTGAGACTACAGGTGCCTTCCATGATACCTGACTAGTTTTTCTATTTTTAGGAGACACAGACTCTTGATCTTGCTCAGGCTGGTCTCGAACTCCTGAGCTCAAGGGATCATCCTGCCTCAGCCTCCCAGAGTGCTGGGGTCACAGGCCTGAGCCACTGCACCCAGCCCACTACCCCTTTAATTGTAGATGTAACATGGCCAGGATTTCCCAAATAGCTTGGTACTCCTGGGGCACTAGTTTTACTGGAATTAGAACCCAGGTCTCCTGAATCCAAGCTGTAGAACCATAACCATGTCTGGTTCCCTCTTGAGCTTCCCTTTGGCCCCCAGAGTGCTGCAGTCTGCAGCAGTGTGCTGAGCCCAGCTGTGCCATGTTGGGTTATGTGCTTCTTGCCTGAGAGGTTCGAACATGGCATGCATGATTCTGTAAGTGGTTATTGTGGTAAGTCCTGATCAGAAAGACTTCTCCAAACCTGAGATAACTGGCACTTGCACCCAGAAATAATGCGATTATTGCCCAAGCTACAGCCAAGCGCAGAGGCACCTTTTATTGGTTCTTTTGTTTTTTTTAGGTATAGCATGAGGACTTGCAAAAATTCTATGAAAGCTTTGTTCCAGCATAGAACGATTTTCACACAACTAACACCCGAACGGCCGGTGAAATAGGGACAGACTAGCCCAGCCAAGGAGAAGATTGTGTTCCCTCTTAGTCCCCCTGTGGTTAGTAAGAAACACTTCTTTTCGACTGGGTGCAGATGTCACTGTCACCCTCACTGAAGTCCCCACCATGATGATCCGTTACTTCCCACTGCAGTTATTCTTTCTTTAAAATGAAGCAGCAAAAGGATGATAAAGTGTGTGCGAAGGCGTCTCCACCCCAGCTGAGAGGGTTGCCCTGGAGTTTGGGGAGCCCCAGGGTCAGGGCAGCCCGAGGCTTGTGCCCCTGAGATGTTCACCCGCAGGCTCACCCCACCACAGGGCAATGCCCGAGCCTCTTCTGTGAATGGCACCAGCGCTCCCTCCCAGGGCTGGTAAATGGAGGGACACGTTCCGTAGATCTTACCTCTAAGGCACCTCAGGTCCAGGAATGCAGAGATTCAGATTTGCTTTTGTTCCCAAGAAGGGACATCTATATCGATCACCTAACAGCAATCAATGGAAGAGGCAGACACAGCCAGTGCGAAGGCTCACGCCTGCAATCCTAGCACTCTAAGTGGCCAAGGTGGTCGCTTGAGTTCAAGAGTTCAAGACGAGCCTGAACAAGAGGGAGACCCTGTCTCTACTAAACATAGAAAATTACCTGGGCATTGTGCTGGGCACCTGTAGTCCCACCTACTCAGGAGGCTGAGGCAGGAGGATCACCTGAGCCCAGGAGTTTGAGGCTGCTGTGAGCTATGACAGCACAGTACTCTACCAAGGGTGACAGAGTGAGATTCTGTCTCCAAAACGAAAAAAAATTAGCACTTGTGTCACTTAAGGAAGCTGATGTGCACTTCTCAACTCCACCCCCCGAAATTCTGACCAGGAAGGGTTGGGGGGCGGGGGGTGGGGATGTGGGGGGGCTCAACTCCAGACTCTGCACCAGGCTTCTCAGATGCCAGCAGCCCATGGGGATCTGACTTCTCAGAACCCTCTTCTGGGATGTGTGAGTGGAGAGTGCAGGCAGGGCAGGTTTTTTTGGTATCTTTCTTTGCCTTCCCCACACTTCCCACCACTGAAGTTCTGTGAGTTATTCTTAAACCCATTAACAAAGACCAGTTACCTTCTGGAGGGAAGGAGCCCTCTGTTCTTCACAGCTGGGTACATCTGGCTCTCCAAGGGCACTTCTCATATTTTAATAAGCATATGAGTTACCTGGAACCAGTTTTAACATGCAGATTCTGATGGCAGGTATAAGAGTTGGGGCTGGGGGGCTGCATTTCATAGATGAGGTGAGGCAGGGCACAGTTGGAGTAGGGAAGCTCCTAGGGGGGTCGGACCTGCGGCCACATGTGGGTTATTGGAGGCCTGTTCTGCTTGTCTGTGTTGCTGGATATTGTGAAAGTTATTCGGGGCCCTTTTAATTACTCACTGGCTTCTGTTAGTGTTTTTTTACCTTGTGGCCCAAGACAACTTTTTCTTCCAGCAAAAAGAAAAAAAGTTTGGCCACCCCTGTGGGTGCACGTGAACAGGTCTGCGGGTCCCACCAGCGTCCCAGCCCCTGCTGTAACAATACTATCTTTGGGATTTCCAAAGAGACCTCATCTCCTAGGGATTCAAAATATTAACCACGGTCTGGATGAAAACCAGAGAGCTGTGGTTATAAACGCAAAACTGGGAACTAATCTGAACCCAGTCTCTTTTCCTTCTCGTTCCCTCAGACTCTGCTTACTATGGAAACTCACAGATTTCTGCCTTGCAGCCCCTCAGCAGCCTCTCAGCTTTCCAGGCTGTGCCCTTGACTATTCAGCCCCTGGCCCCACAGGAGTGGGCGCAGTTAACCAGACTGGTGCTATTTACCTGGACAGCTGAAGGGATGCAGGAATTTGACAACAGAATTGGGACCCTTCATGTTCCATTTGTTCACATCTGGGCAGTTTCAAGGCCAGGTTCTGGGAGGAGCCAGGAAAGAGAAGGGAAACTGAAGCCTTTGGCGGGGAAATCCCACGTCTGATGATGGGAAGATAGCCCCGCGGAGCCGGCTGATTTATGGGGGGAGCAGGTGACAGGGAGCTCGTCAGTAGTGCTGGCTGCTTTTTTGTGGGTTTGTAGAAGCTGGGTCCCAAAGCAGGTTCCAAATAGGAGCCCCAAGCGCCTGTGTCTTCCTGCGTCTATGCACTATTTAGATAAGAAGGGGCTGTACTTGATCACAGGAGAGCTGTTTGTTTAAATACAGGGAGGGGAAGCTGCGTGTGTGTGTGTGTGTGTGTGTGTGTGTGTGTGTGTGTGTGTAAGGAGAGAAGGAGGATGTGGGAGGAAGGAGAAGAGAGCCAGCAATTTTCCACAGCTGAAACCCACCACGTGGTTGTAATTAGGCTGACCTTCCCATCACCTGAGCCCCAGGATGCCGTGACGGCTCTGGAAGCCTGTCCTCGGCATCTCAGCTACGTGCTGCTGTGGGCAGTTGTGAGGTTCCAGGAGATGTTCTTACTGCCCCTTGTCCAGTGGCTGGCCAGCTGCCTCTCTGAATTCCCTGGGAGTCAGGACTGAAATGCAGAACCAGGATGAACTGCCTCCCGAGAAAGAGCCTCAGGGAGAGAACAGGAGACGGCTGACGTGCTGTGCACTGGCCCAGAGGCCCCCACTCGCCTGGCTCTTCACACCTGGGAGTGGGTTGGGTGGCGGTTTACAGGCCTCTGTTTCCATGTTTGCCGCCTGCTTCTCTGAAGGCTTATGCAGATTTGAGTAGTTTTGCCCCTTTGATCTGAAGGAATAAAGGATCACAGGCCAATACCCCAGTGCTTACTCCACAATGTGTCCCAGGGACAACCTGGGGTTGGGGAGGGGCTCCATAGAGTTCACTGGATCTCCTGAGGCCAGTGCCCACCCGCCAGGCCGCAGCTGGGGCCACTTGAGGCAGCTTCATCTGCTCGTCAGGGCAGGTCACTTGGGGCTGGGCACAGCAACACCGGCCTTGGGCAGGGCACATCAGGTACAGGGGAGGTCACAGCAGGAGGGGAGGAGGAGACAGCCAGCAGTTGCTAGAGAAAAAATAAGCACCACCTGTAAATTGCAATTCCTGTCAGCAAGGAGCCTTGCTGGCCCTGCCTCCTGCCCGCCACTGCCACCTGTAAACTCTGTGCCCTTGTCATTCTCTTGAGCTTCTCCTTTGTCTCCCTGGGCTTTGTCCCTGCCGTGCTGGAAGTGACAGCTATTAGGATGTCACAGGCTGGGGCTGGAGGACAAGGCAACCCCACAGTGCAGACTGCACTGGAAGAGGTTAGATGTCCCCCAGGTCCCAGACGCTTCCTACTTCTGCTCAGCCAGTGGGAGGAAAGAATTCACCTTTCAAACCCTCAGAACTGTCCTGATGAATAAAAAGGACAGCGGGTGTGTCCCGGTCAGTTTGGCTTTGGGTAAAATATTTCTTTCTAGACGCTGGTCATTGTGACCCCGCCTCTACCCTGAGCTGGAGGTCACAGCTCATGGCTGGGGGACCACTCACTCTCTCCTGCCTCCTGCAAAACATTTCCCGGCGATTCTGACGCAGAACCTACGGCGGGTCTGGGGAGAGTCTTCCCCGCTTTTCTGAGTCACTGTTTCCTCTGGGCCTGATGGATGAAAACGAGTTTGTTCGGGAGAAGTGGTTTCCACTGCAGGGGAAAGAGATCTGACTTCTCTGTCAAGTCTAATAAATGTCATGTGTTTCAAAATCCATGTGTTTCACGCGCACACACGCAGAGTCACACATGTGCCCAGGGAGAGGGTCACAGCTCCACCCGGGACAACGATGCCTTTTTTCCAAGACGCAAGCTGCCCCTGCCCTCAATTTGCTGCTCTTGTTTTTTATAATCACTGTTTTGTGTTCCAGTGATTGTAAG